AAAATTATGTTGATATTTCAAATTTATAATAAAAAGTAAAATAATCGTATTTTTTGTTTTTTCTAATTTTTCCAATTATAAAGAGAATATATTAAAAAATAAAATAAAATAAAACCAAATAAAGAAACAAAATAAAATAAAAAGAAATGAAAACAAAAATATTAAAAGTCTTTATTTACAAATTAAGTGTTTGATTTTATTGAAATTATGTGATATTAAATTATGTAACTAAATAATTGAAATAAAATAAAATAATGATATAATATAAAAAATAAATACAAAAGAAAAGGAAAATAAAAAAACTATAAAATTAACAAGAAAAAAGAGAAAATAAAAAGGAAAAGAAAACAAGAAACTAACGTATATAACGAGTAAAAAAGAAAAAAAAAATAAAGAAAAATAAATAAATAAAAGGGCGTGTATCACACGCCCCCTTCCAACACGTGAGTTGGAAGGGGGCAACTGAAGGGATTCATCCCTCCCCTCTCTCCCCACCTCTACCCACTCCAGACCCACACCCCCTTGGCCCACTTTTATTGGTGTTGGTTTTACCATCCCACCCCAACCCATACCCATCTCCATTGGAGATGGTCTAAGTTCGACTACGGATTCCTTGATTATCAAAAAAGAAAGCCAAATGTTTTTGATGATGATCTTTAAAGAGATTCTGATATATTAAGATGAAAAATGTGAAGCAATTATCAAAAGCCACAAGAAGCAAAAGTTAATAAAGCTAACCACTAATTGAAAGTAGTACCAATCTTTTGATTTCTACATTTACAACTATGAGAGACAAATTGACCCCTTGTTCTAATACGTCCTTGAATCATAATCTAACTAGGGATGATTTTGGGAGGTATCCGACCCTTATCCATATATATTTATGGTAAATTACATTCACCGTCGTAAAATCAAATTACGAATAAAATCACCATATTTAAGTAATTACAACTACCTCGGTAACTAATCTCCCCAATTAAGAAAAAAAAGAAGAAAAAAAAAGATGAATGATTTGTCCCACATCGAAAATATTAAACCTTTAATGCGGATATCTAATCAATTAGAACTAAACCATTGATTGCTGAGTCTGGTTGCGCGTGCTCGTAAATCCAAGCGGAGGCACCAAGTTTGATTTATTCATTGGTCTACGTGGGTTAGGTACCGGCGAATTGGTGTGTTATGTGATTTAATCCTCCTTGTGTCTTTTGACTTGTAAATATCAGATTGTGGTGCAACCTCGAGAGTGATCGTCGTAATTTACCCTATATATCTAAGATCGGCCAATTTTGGGAAAGATATAAACCTAACCTACTCAATATTTTCTTGGAACTCCATTTATGATTTAACTACATCTTTGCTTTCTCTAACTTTCACTTTCCCTCTCATTCAACAAAATGAAGGTTCCCTTTTCTGTAAACACTCAAAACAACCCAAAACCACCGCCCGCCACCGCCGCCGCCGCCTACGAGCCCAAATCAGTTCTTGAGCTATGTGGCAGTCCAATTTCTAATCAAAAGCCTTTGATATTGGTGGACCCACAATTGGTGGATTGGGATTCTTTCAGCGAGTTGGGTTTGCATGATCATCATGATCCTAACTCAGTTTCCAAACCCACTATTCATCAACTCAATTCGCATCCGCTGACTCAGATTATTCCAACCGATCAGTACTCAAATCAGCTTCTACAAACTGATTTCGGCTCTCTGTCGGATATACCATTGATCCATGATAACTCCTATAGTATCAATTCATTCGACAGCTTCACCAGTTTTGACGGCTACGTAAACGAGTTGATCCAACTCGCTGAGTCCATCGACACCAACTCACTTCAACTCGGGAACGTGCTACTTTCGCGGCTCAATCAGACACTCAGTTCTCCAGCCGGAAAACCTCTCCAGAGAATTGCCTTCTATTTCAAGGAAGCCCTTCAGTGCCTACTCACCGAGTCAACTCGGCCGAGTCGTCACCCAACCACTTCTTCCGAGATTATTCAAACCATCAAAGCCCAGAAAATCTTCTCCACCATCTCTCCGATTCCAATGTTCGCCAGCTTCACGGCTAACCAAGCTGTGCTTGATGTCATGGACAACTCGACAAGTGTCCACGTCATCGATTTCGACATCGGGCTCGGCGGCCATTGGGCTTCGTTCATGAAAGACCTAGCCAGTAGAGCCACGCCGCCGCCAGCGCTCCGAATATCGGCTGTTGTTTGTGAACAGTACGGGGTGGAGTCGAGGCTGATTAGGGAGAGTTTAGTTCAGTTTTCACGTGAGCTTAATATCGATCGGTTTGTAATCGACTTTATCTCGGTACGAACATTCGAGTATCTATCTTTCAGATCGATTAAATTCACCGACGGTGAAAAGGTGGCCGTTCTTTTATCTCCGGAGATATTCCATCGTGTGGGGACGGAGTTCCTGAATGACCTCCCACAAGTGTCCCCATACGTGGTGGTGCACGTAGGTATCCAAGGGGGGCTTGATTCCGGATCGTCGTCGTCGTGTCGGCAGGCTGTGATCGACGGGATTGAGTTGTACTCCGCTCTGCTGGAATCACTGGAAGCAGCTGAATCTGACGGCGGCGGTGACTGGGTTCAGATGATTGAAGCGTTTGTGGTGTTTCCTATGATTGTGGAGGCGGCGGGCCGGCGGGGGATTGGGTCGAGGGAGGCGCTGGCGGCGGCAGGATTAAGAGAGGCGGGGCTGAGCCAACTGGCAGAGCTTCAAGCAGAGTGTCTAGTGAGGAGAGGGAGAGTGGAGGGATTCCACGTCGTCAAACAACAAGCGGAGATGCTGCTTTGCTGGCACGATAGGCCAATTGTTGCCACGTCAGCTTGGAAGTATTAGCAAGAAATTGATTAATCAATGTGAATGTCTCTAGTTGTTCATAAACTCGTAGGCCATCTAGTAATTGTTTCTATTTTTTATATTTGTTTTCAATATTTTAATAAAAAATGTAATAAAACTAATTTGAAGATTTATATTTTCTTATTTTAATTATGTCTATCAATAAAAAAAAAAAAACATATGTAATAAATAATTAAGTTCGAATTAGAAAAGAAAAATATCAATGAACTCAAATTCAAGCTCAAGTTGACCAAACGAACCAAGTTCAATTCAAGCTCGAACTCGTTGCACCTCTATATTGATGCAACTCACAAAATCCTCAAATCAATCTCCAAGCAAATCATCGTACATTCACAAAAAGTATACACATGCATACACGTAATACGAAGCCACTTAAGAAGACGGACGAAAACCATGTCAGATACTCTTCCGAATCAACTTTCACACCAAAAAGCAAACAGAATTTGTTGATGCTTAAAGCTCTACCTAACTAACTAAATAACATACATGTATTAATGCTACAACAGTAGTGTAGAAGTGATGGATGGGGGTTACATATAGTATAGAATTAGTAGGCACAACAAGCTTTTCTTAACTTTGGATTGAACCTAGAAATAAATTTCTCGGACACTCGTCAAATTAGAGAAAGCGTAATCTACTGTGTAATAACGCACGCCTGTTCTAACAGTTACCTTCACATCCCTACTGAGATTTATGCATCTCGGAGCTTTTATTCTCTACGTCGTCTTGCCCACTAAACCTCGATAGCTCCTCCTGTTAAAAACCAGCAGTCTTTGTTTGAGAGAGAGAGAGAGAGAGAGAGAGAGAGAGAGAGAGAGAGAGAGAGAGAGAGAGGAAACCTTTATAGAGTTATTTTCAGATGTGACTTTCTCGCATTCCTCAGAAAGCTTCCGTAATTCGTCTCTGAGAGTGCGATTCTCGTTATTCAATACCTCCACCCTCTGCTGCAGTTCTTCACACTCAGCCTGCAAAGAAGAAAAAAAGATTGGTGAAATAAATATCGTTACACAGGAAAAATTACTAGCCAAATTTATTTAATTTCTTAGAATTTTATTGAACAGTACCTGCTTGCGTAATCTTGATCTACGAGCAGACTCCCGGTTAGATTGCTTTCTCTTTTGTTTTTTCAATTCACGTTCATCCTGTCAGATCAAAGTTCAAATTACACTCAAGTGTCGAGATGAGTTGAATAACCCTCGTATAAGAAATAAAGACATAACAAAGATTTACTATATTCTTTCATTAAATTAAACCCACATAAATTTTGTCAATAGTAACATAATTGAGAGCTTACTTGAACCCAGTGCTCGTTCATGGCGCCAGCTGGAGCTACGGTAGGCTGGTTCGGGTGCACTGCACCAGCAGGTGATGCATTCCACAAATCCATCCCGATGTTCAGATTAGTTGCGGGCACAGAAGCTACAGTATTGCCAGGTTGGAAATTAGCTGGAATACCATTGTTTTGAGCATTTGCCCCTGACATTTTTCAATGTCAGAAAATCCCATAATCGGGACGTAGTTAATGAAACATAAAAAAACGGCCTTTTATAATCTTTTACTAGTTTACCATCGGCAAGCATCTGGTCAAAGCTTCCTTTCTTGTTACCCGAAAAATCCTGAAATCGAAAACTACATTCGCTTCAGTATCAAATACACAAAAGCAAGCTTTTTTAAAATAATTAATCACTCGAATATTATATGTATATATTCTATATATACTAAAAAGCCATACAAGATGATATGAAGACCTGATTTTCATCATCACTCGCATCTGACGAACCTTCGCTCCCGCTTTCAGCACTGAATAAAATCAAATTTCAATACATAATAATAATAAAAGGAAAAAGGAATTTCTAAAAAAAATATATTATCAAGTCCGGGGCTAGATATCGTCTCGAACAAACCTTTGTGTACCAACATCGTTTCCAGAGCCTGAAGTTGCTTTCCCACCATCTCCAGTTTTACCACTAACCAAGCCATGATTTGCCGAATTACCCTTGCTTTTTTTGGTCGAGGCACGATCCTTACCCCCCTCTGTAGCTCTCCCATCTAATTCGGATGCATGTACATTGACGGAAGCCTGCAAAAGAGAACCCAACTAACAGCTGAGAATCAAGATTATACACAATTACTACAAAAATTACAGTACTAATCAACTTCCATTCAATTAGTTAATTTCGATCCGTCGAAAGCTAAAAAAAAATAAAAATCGAGATCTTGATTACCCTAACCATGTTAGGATGAGCATAGACACCCCCAGGTGGATACATAGCTGGATATGGAATCGGTGTTCCGTAAGGCGGCATTAGAGGATGCTGAAAATTTAAATAAAAAAGCTCAGTACATAATGTGAATAAAAGGAAATCAAATGCTCCCACAAATAAGCAGAAGATAAATAATAAGTGTTCGAAATTATTAAATATTATTCTACAGTAATGACCTGGCCACCCCACATGAAAGGATGAGGAGTAGGAGAGCCCACAGTCGAAGCGAAGAAAGGCGGTGTTGCTCCACCACCATAGAAAGCCTGTCAAAGAAAATACGATTATAATTTAAAACAACGGAACAAATGAAAGCTGTTTATAAACATGATTAAAAAAAAAAAAAAAACCTGCATAGAGCTCGCCCAATCAGGATATGCAGGCGTAGGCGCAGTAGGGGTACCTTGAACTTCCTGCAAATTCAATAAAACAATGAAACGTATAAGCTTTAATAAATCCGAAAAAAAGGGGCATACGTATAGATAGTAAAAAGTGTGTCGAAGCATTATTTATTTAGTAGATTACATTTACGATAAATAATAAGAAAAAAACGGTACCTGTACTGTGGATGCAGGTTTGGAAGATTTTGCAGGTGTGCCCTCTTCCCCAGCCCCCATTAAAACAAAAGATCGAGACAAGATCTTTGTATTCTTGAAAAATCTAATGAAGTACAAGATTGTAATGGATATCTATATTAAGCGCCTTAAAAAAAGATGAAAAATATACGAGGAAGCTATGATCGGGTTCTAATTAAAAAAGGATTTAATCACAGAGTCCGCGGTCAATATCTTAAGCCCTATGAACGACTGTCCAAAAGGTAGATAAAATAGGAAGTCGGTTATATACGTTATACAGATAACCCAATTCCCCCACTCAGTTGCTTCTAGGTAACTAAATCGGTGAGATGTTTATATATAAGATTAGTCACATTTCAAAGAATAAAAGGGAACGAAAGTTAAGCTGTATTCGTCAACTATATATCAAAAGGCCAACATAGAAAACGATATCAGTGTAACTTTCCCTTTTCGTATTTCCATATTGATTATCTCTTTGAGATGATCGCAATTTTCTTTTGACCTAGTCACTAGATAATCAGTGTGCTGTAAAACGCGAAAGTGGTACAGCGCTCGACCAAGATGCAGTAAAGTTTAAAACTTTATATGCACTAAGAGGTTTCGGTTCTACCCGAAAAAAACCCATCACTAAACTCACTTCTCATTATTACAAGAAACAAGAAAAAACAAATCTTGATATTTTATCAGAGCATTTTTCCAACATAACAGCAAATCTGATGGGTAAAAGATTCTGCAGTTACATTCTGTAATAAAACACCACAAGAATACAAATCAGATGCTTTTAGTGTTTTTTTCTTGATAACTGAACTAATACATATATATTATTTAATAATAAACATATGTATATATATCCATCCATATTTAACAAGGTCCATGTTAATCAATCCACCACAAGCTTATAAATAAACATCCAATAGAGTGCAAAATTGGATTACCAAATTTAAATCAATCAATCCAAAAAATGATAAATCCCTCATTGAATCTTGAAAAATTGGGTCAGAAAAAAACTAGAGAGAGAAAGAAGAGAGAGAAAGAGGGACTGACCTGGTCTGAAAAAAGAGCAACTGAGGTGGAACGAATGGAGTCCAAGTCAGACAGACGAGGTTTTGGTATGGCTGTCAAATAGTATTATACTTTATCTATAACGCCACACACACACACACGCACACTCTTTGCCTGAGATCTAACGGTTACCCGATTAACGGGCAAAACTATGGCTCCGACAGCAGTACCTGCTGCGCTTTAATTTACCTAATTCTTTGCCTGAGAATAAATAAATAAATAAATACGAAAACCCTAATTTTTTCCCCCTTGCTCAAATAAAAATTCAAGGAAAAAAGCAGAAAAATAAAACACGCGTGAATTGCTGTGTGGGTGATCGGATTATCTATCTGATTAAAATCAAATCAACGAACATGGTGCTTGCTGGTGGCGAATCGGGGACGGGGGGAAATTGGGGGTAGGGTTTTTGGGGAGGGTGACACGTGAGGGGGAAGAGGAATACACGTGGCGGAAGGTGAGTGGATGGGCGTGACAAGGCTAACAAGTGTTTTTGGTGAGTCACGACTTTTCTGCGGATAACTTCTTTTTTTAACTTGCATTTGCCGCCGCCCACCCACCAACCAAAAGAAAGCACGAGAATATTAAACCATTAATTAGACTGGTAATTTTGTAATTAGTACTTTAAAAACTGTCATTAGATGCCAAAATTTAATCAAATTGGTCTCTTTTTTTTCCTTTTCCACGTCAAAATTTCGCTTGAGTCCATTTATTAATAGGAAAAATTGTAATTTTGGTCCTATATGTTGATCTCTTTATGGTTTAGTCCTATATATTATCGTATCTTAATTTTACATGTAATAATTATGCAAAATTAGTATTTTTTAGTTATATTTCACTTGAACTTTGAAATTTTACCATTTTTTAATGATGATGTACCTAACAAACTCGCATAAATTTATTTATATGGACACTAAAAAAATATAAATGGTCAAACTCGTATAAAGTTATTTATATGAACACTTTAAAATTATAAATGGTCCTTTAATTTGGTTTATAGATGTGTCGTTTCACATAATTAAAGTTCTACCAATGGTAAATTAGATGTTGAAATATCAATCTCCAAGCGTCCATATAAGTAAAATGCGTCAAGTTTATTTGTCACGTCATAAAATTAAAAATCATATAAATTATGACTAAAATACTATATTTGCAAAGTTATTGCATGTAAAATAAAACTGAAACATGACAAGAGAACTAAATTCCTAAATAAGTCAACATAGAGGAACAAAACTACTACTGATCAGTCTGGATTCGTGGTGGGTTACTTTAGAGAGTTAGGTAGGCCGGAACTTGGACCGGGCCCATGGATAAACCTACAAAAAAGGAAACTACCGGACTTAGGCCGGAGTTAGCACTCCGACGGCCAAGTCAATAACTTCTTGAGGAAGATATTATGTTTCTTTTTTTTTTTATATGTAATTGGTGTAGAAGATTTTTCTTATATGCCGATACATGTATTTACTGCCCCTATTTATACTACAAAGGGGACGGACGTCAAATATTCTCCAATTTAATTTACCTGTCCAATCGCTGAATAAGATATTCGGACTCCATATTACCTTCAATACGATTTAATCCGTCATTTCGTTGGCGGCTGCGTCAGAGAAAAGTATGGGACAACGACTACAGTCCTCTGCGCTTGCCAGTAAATTAGACGTGCATTAAATACCCCCACGTGTGGTTGGTACAGTCTCGGCAGGTTAGTTGGGCGAGAGGCCCGGCGAGAGAACCTTTCACTCTCGCAGCTCGCTCGGTCTCTCCGGTTAGTTGGGCGAGAGGCCCGGCGAGAGAACCTTTCACTCTCGCAGCTCGCTCGGTCTCTCTCGCCTCACAAGGTGTTTACGCGATTGGGCCTACCTTTCTGGATGAACCTAATGGGGCCTTCTGATCATGATTGACTGTTTGGGCTTGAACTGACCAATGAGCCTTTAGTCCTTATTGGGCCTTCCGGATGGCCATGGCCCGGATCAACTACAATTCTAAATAAATCCACTACAACTTATGACAAAAGTCAAAAACTGTTCAGAAAAAAAAAAAAAAAACATCTAAATAAATCCACTACAACTTATAACAAAAGTCAAAAACTGTTCAAAAAAAAAAAAAAAAAAAAGCATCGTCGCCTGAGAGATTCGAACTCTCGCGGGGAAACCCCATGTACTTAGCAGGCACACGCCTTAACCACTCGGCCAAAGCGACTGTTTGTCTATTAATTAATCAAAAACGTATTTCATTCAACACAAAGATGGGTTTAGCCTTTTTATCCCCGAAATAGTCATTGAGTCATTTCCTCAAACAGGTGCTCGTCATGGTCAGTTGGTCACCAATGTGGTTTGCTATGTGATTCAAATTCACTCAAAATGAAGAGAAATTTGAGATGCACACCTTCTCTATTTCTTGCTCTCCGTGATAAAATCCATGGCGTTGATCACAACACACCGCAGTATATCCAACACCCTCTTCGTTATCTATCCAGACATCTCTCCGCCACCACTAATTTAAGCTTTTCCAAATCCGCCATTGACAACCCTATCACCGGACCCGCCATTTACTCATCTTTTTCTTCCTCCGCCGACGGCCAAGAAGAAGAATCCCACAGTGACCCAGAACATGAATTCGATAGCGGCGGCGATGAAGCCACGACGGCTGACGAGAACGCCGACGACCAATGCTGTTCCCGTGATTTGGAAGCCATTGCGGACATTCTTCGAACACCTGGTGTGCACGAAAAGAGCAGAAAGCTGGAGCACTGCGGGGTCAATGCTTCGCCGGGATTAGTCGCCAACGTGCTCTCCGGCACGCGCAACGACTGGGAAGCAGCGTTCACCTTCTTCCTGTGGGCCGGCAAGCAGCCGGGCTACGCCCACTCCCTCCGCGAGTACCACTCCATGATAGCCATCCTCGGAAAATTCCGAAAATTCGACACCGCGTGGGCCCTAATCGACGAGATGCGAGCCCAATCCCTCGTCACACCCCACACCCTCCTGATCATGATCCGCCGCTACGCCGCCGTGCACGACGTCGGCAAGGCGATCGGAGCCTTCTACGCCCTCCGGCGGTTCAAGTTCGACATCCGCCTGGAGGAGTTCCAGCGCATGCTGGCCGCCCTGTGCAGGTACAAGAACGTGAAAGACGCGGAGCACATGCTCTTCTGCAACAAAGACGTGTTCCCTCTGAACACGAAGAGCTTCAACATCATCCTCAATGGATGGTGCAACGTGATCGGCTCCCTCCGCGAGGGCCAGAGAATCTGGAACGAGATGGAGACGCGAGGCGTCAAACCTGATGTGTACTCGTACTCCAGCATCATGTCCTGCTATTCGAAAGCCAACCATCTGAACAAAGTCGTCAGACTCTACGAAAAGATGAAGTCTTTAGGCGTAAAACCCGACAAGAAAGTCTACAACGCCGTAATTCACGCTCTAGCCAAAGGGAAGCTTCTGAAAGAAGCTTATAATGTGATGAAAACTATGGAGGACGAGGGTTTCAAACCTGATGCGATCACCTACAACTCACTCATCATGCCGCTCTGCAAGTCACGGCTATTGGACGAAGCCCAACATGCGTTCGACGAAATGACTGAGAGAGGCCTGCAACCCTCAATCCGAACGTACCACGGTTTCTTTCGTGCTTTGAGAACAGGGGAGCAAGTATTTGAGCTCTTGCGGAAAATGTCTGCTAGCGGGTGCAGTCCGAGCCACGAGACGTATATAATGCTGATAAGGAAATTCTGCCGGTGGCGCCAGCTGGACGACGTGTATAAGGTGTGGGGTGAGATGAGCAAGAATGGGCTCGATCCAGATAGAAGCTCGTATATTGTGCTGATACACGGTCTTTTCTTGAACGGGAGATTGGACGAGGCCCATAAGTACTACTTGGAAATGAAGGAGAAGCAGTTCTTGCCGGAGCCGAAAATTGACGAGGTGCTTCAGGCTTGGGTGGCTGGTAAAGGGGATGGAGATTTGAATGTGGTTGTGTCAAAAGAGAATCGAACGGTTTGTAGTGAAGTTGGAGAAAAGGTGAGGGGTAAATCTGGAAAAAGTGAAAAAAGTCGGAGGGAGAGTGATTTTCTCAGACAACCGGAATCGAGAAGCGTTACGAGGGAACGAGGCTTCTCTTTCTGGGATTAGTTAGCCGTTTGTTTGCAACTGTTTTATTTATTTACTTTATATTTGAATATCGAGATTATTATATATTTTATGTTGTAGGTGACTAGAAAATTGTAATATCCGAATTCAGCCAATTACGATTTGGACCAAGTTTTTTCATTCCAATTTACGAAATTCTTCTTTCTGATTTTTTCGAACGAAAATTGGAATTAGGTTTATGAAAGTTTTGATTTCGATCTACCCCGTCTGATTCCCACCTTAATAAGATCACATGACATGAATTAAATAAAAATTGGTATAATATACCAAAAAATAAAGATGAAAATAGAAGTTGAGAGACCTAAATCACAGCATTGCATCAGCAACTATATTTTCTTTCTCTATTTAACACACAGTCACACACTACATGCCGATTATAAACACTTCTCCTGTACAATGTCTGTAGTGAAAACGAGAGACCAAAACGAAACGGAACTACGATCTTCAAAAGCTACGCATTTTGTTTTTCACTATAAGAACTACAAAACTGAGCATAGCTTACAAAACTATTTACAAGGAAAAAGTAGCACCTTGTATATATATTATATATTATATTTATATATGTTTATATAGATTCTATGCATGTATATTCTTAAAAACATTGTCCGAAACGTTTGACAAACCTGAAACACAGGCTTTTCGAGTTTTTCTCGTTCTCCATCGGCCCATCCATCAAGCAATCCGTAGCCGGTGGATCTTCCGTCTCTTCTTTGCTTCTAGAATATTCCACCTCCGACAAAATCGGTGGTGCTTCTAGAATATTCTCTTGGCATATGCTATGAAGATATTTCTTCAGAAACTGCGTAATTTGCTGAAATTCCGGCCGATTTTCTGGATTCTCCGCCCAACAAGACTCTAATAGCGGTGCAATATTTGCCGGAATGCAATCTATGCTAGGCCTTCGGTTCTACCCAAAAAAAAAACCCATCTCAGTTTTGCAATTTTCTTGAATTAATTTTTGCATTTTATTATATATATATATATATATATATATATATATATATATATATATATATATATATATATATATATATGTACCATTGCTGCAGCATAAGCCACCATAATGTTGTTCCTGCCCTTAAAAGGGGTTCGGTTTGTGATCAGCTCCCACAAAACCATCGAGAAACTATAAACATCGACTTTATGATCGTAATGCTTCTTTACACCCAAACGAAGAGCTTCGACGCTAAACAACTAATTTAAGAAAAAAAATAAAAAATTACTGAGGCTTAGTATTATATAATCAAGAAAATCTATATTAAAAAAATCACGAGTAATAAATAATACCTCGGGAGCCATCCAACGGTAGGTCCCAGCCTCGGTTGTCATTTCATCGTCAGTTTCTTCTCTAGCCAATCCAAAATCGGCCAACTTGATTTTCTTTTTATCTTCTGTAAGAAGTAGATTGCCTATATATATATATATATATATCCATCAGTAAATGTGACACAATTTTTTATTTTTTATTTTTTTGTATACTGATATGTTTTATAAAATCGGCATGGAAAATTACTTGGTTTTAAATCGCGGTGGATAATTCGATTCTGATGAAGATATTCCATGGCTTGGGAAATATCTAAAGCAAAACGTATGCAAAGCTTCAAATCGGGGCAATTCGGACGTAGGCCCCACATAAACTTTTGTAGTGTGCCACCTTGCATGTACTCTGTGACTATCATCATATTCGGTTCGATCGTAGCTCCAATTAACTGTTTAAAAAAAATTTGATGCAATTGTATAAATAATTATTATAATTGAATTCATGCAAGGAAATGCAACTATTTCTAATCTCCCCGACCGATTCTTGATAAAAACATACCTTTACTATATTCTCGTGATTTACTCGAGAAAGCATCGAAACCTCCCTACAGAATTTTTCCTCGAGTTCTGGACTGACACTTGTTGACATGTCTGGTTGTATCATTTTTACAGCCACAGGTAGCGACCCGTACCTGAAAAAATAATCGAACGAACAACATTTCAAAAAAAAAAAAAAAATTCACCATAAAATTTTCGACTTGACAACTTGAGACAAAATAAATAAGGTTTTCTAAAGTAAGTAAAATTTCCGTTATTTCCCGAAAATTTCCTTATGAACGCAAATTTCGAAACAATTCATATCTAAAGTAAGTAAGACGAAATCTAAATTTATCAAAAGCGTACACATTTAAATAAAGCAGAAAGCAACTAATTCATGCACTTATTTCTCGATTCCGCCTCATTGAAGGTTTTACACTCACTTTGTCGAAATTCATTACCCCGTCGACTCAACAATTATTACTACCAAATATTTTTTCCTCGGTTACATAAATCTTACCTCCCAAAATCGGGAAACATATATTTTGTAATATTATATAGAACACGTTGTGTAAACCGGTAAGCAATCCTCTATGGATAGCTTAAATCTCCAAGAATTCTCCAATTACTTGCCATTTTTTATTTTTATTTTTTTTGCGGGGGTATTCATTTAATATCAATTAATAACCTGCATAATCGATACAAGATTGCGGATATATAAAAATCCGTTCCTTTTTTTCTGAAATTATGTTCTAGACGACAAAATATCTACAATGGTGTCGAGAGTAATGAAGAGATCAGATTACAACGCACGTTGCAAACTTTATTCCTTGTTTTATGTCACCAAAAGCATGGCGAAAACTACTAGTGCAATTCTCGTTCGTCATCCGTTACGCATCGTAATGGCACTCAACTAACATTTTTTCCTCGGTTTCTCAGTCCGATTTTCTAATTTTTTTTCTCAACCAAGAAAATAAAATGGTGCTCAACAAAAATTAAGAAAAAATGAAAAAAAAAAAAAAAAAAAAAAAAAAAAGAAATTGGCTTCTTGCAATGAGAAAAACGAAGAATTCAACACATATCCGCAAATTCCATCACCGAGAAACAACCACATTTCAATAAATAAAAAGCGAAATTTGCGATTAAGTTATCGAAAATAAATAAAAATATTGATTAACCCTTCTAATTGCAACAATCCACACAAATAAAACCCCTTTTAACAGATAAACAGCACAGAAAAAATAAAATCGAAGAAACCGAAACATTCGGCACAAATCAAATACCGAAACACAATTAGTGCAAAAACAGAGACATGCACGCAGATTACAAGAACATCAACGGCCGCAAACCCAAATGCTGATGAAATTGCACACAGTAAATAAAGATGGGTTTTTTATTTTTATTTTTATTTTTATTAAAAAAAAAAAAATTGGGGAAAAAAGAAAGAGACTCACAATCCTTGATAGACAATGGAATAGTGGCCCTCACTGATCATCGGGCCAATAGCAAGCTGGTCAGCATCAATCAGAAGCTTCTCATCAATCGGCGCCGGAGAATTCTGCTGGGTATTCAAATCATCGCCGCCGTTCATGTAATAAAATGTAGAGAGAGAAAGCTCAGAGGGTTTATCCTGATCAGCCATTTTTATTTTTTTCCTAATAAACCCACCGTTGCATTAAGAGAGAGAGAGAGAGAGAGAGAGAGAGAGAGAGAGAGAGAGAAGAGGGGGTGTATTTGAATGAGATACAGTGATAGAAATAAGAGGGAAAAATCTTCTTAAGTAAAGAAAAATATTGAATTCTTGTAATCCCATTACTATAATGTATTTTGGTGACGTCATAAATCAAGAAAGTGGTATTTAATTACTTTGTTTGGGATCCCACGCGTCACTGAATTTTTATTTATTTTTATTCAAAATATTTTGGTTATTTTACTCAATTTATTTCTAAGTTAAATGTAGATTTAAATATACGAGCATTTTTTCCTCGTGCGATGCACGGGATATTATTTATTTCAAGAGTAAAAAAATCAGTTTAATACATAATAAGAAAATATAGTTCCCGAACATAGTAAAATTTAATAATGTAGTATTATTCATATTTTATATAACATTAGTTTGTTTAAATTTTACATATTAAGATTTACAATCCAAATATATAGATTTAGATTTAATATATCATAAAATTTGAGTTATATTGATGAAAAATAGGAGATTGATAATTATTGAAAATTAGTAGATAAAAAATATTAAAAATAATTAATGAAAGAAATACCATTAGGGTTTGTTAGGGTTGTCCAGCATTTCTTTCTTTTATATATAAGATATATTTTTTTTTTGTTTCGTATTATTTGCTGTATTTATTAAAATTTTCTCATTTTTACCCTCATACTCCTAATTTAATGAGAGATAATTATTAGAGAAAAAATAATAAAAAGGGTATATGAATTCCTTTGAATATTTATCGAAACTTAAATGACAGAATAAAAAACGAGAGGGAGTAATAAATAAATAAATAATTTTTATTTACCATGTATTTTGCATATTAAAGCAGGAATTGTCTGCATATACATTAGATAATACAACTAATGTATGACAAAATGGTAAACCTACTTGCCATATAAAACTTGATCCCTTTGCAATCTAATTTTGCTATCGGGTCAAAACCCGAATTTGATTACGTTGATTATCATTCAAATTCAATATCAAGTGTTTGGATATCCGATAAGAATCTAATTTAATTTCAATAAATGAGTTAGTTGCTTGCATACACAGCATTTTTTTATTTTTGTAATGAAAGAACCCGCAACCAAATATATAGGTTCGCGTAAACTTATACTGTCATATAATAACTTGAAAATTATAATAGAACAATTTTTATTTTTTATTTTCGTAATGAAGGAACCGCAACTAATCATATAGGTGTATCATGTAAACCTTCACTCTCGTATAATAACTTGAAAATCATACGACTGACGTAAATCGCAGTAGGCTAACTATGTATCAAAAACTTTACCTAACGACCGTTGATAAGAGGATTCGAACTTGGATCATTTCACCGTACACACATATCTTCAAAACTATTATTTGTGGTTTACACTTTAAAATTTACATATCCCAATCAAATTTTTTTATTCAATTTTGTATTTTTATAAAATATAGAAATGTCAAAAATCTATTAGTGAAAAACTTCACCTAACGACCGTTGACAAGGAGATTCGAACTTGGGTTATTTCACCGTACACATATCTTCAAAACTATTGTTTGTGGTTTACACTTTAAACTTTACATATCCAATCAAAATATTTTATTCAATTTGATATTTTTATAAAATATAGGAAATATCAAAAATCTATTAGGGCCTAATTACTTATTGTTATATTTTTTTCATTATCATTTTTTGCAATTGAACAAGTAAATTTATTTTTTCATTATCACTTTTTATAAAAGGGATTTATTTTTTGCAGGTACATAATGACCAAAAATTTGAAAAAGAAAATCTTAATACTAAATCGAATTAATATTTCAGTATTCAGTTAATATATACCAAAACATCGGTTCGATGTAATTCGATGTACACTTCTCATTGAGAGACGTATGATTGAAATTCTTGGTAAATATACGTTAAATAATAAAAACTTCGTTCTACATGCCCGAATCAATGAGACTTTGTGGCAGAGCTATTTTCTTATTTTAAAGGGTAACTAGCGAAATGGGCACAAATTCACAACCTATAGGTCGATGTCGATTAGCTGTGGGTTAAAAATATGAGTCGAAAATAGAATAATTATCAGATGAAATCAATATGTTACCCAAACCCTACGTTTAAGGCAACAATGAGAGTTTATTTGTATTAAAATAAAATTAAAAAATAATAAATAATAAATAATAATAATAAAATAAAAAATAAAAATAAATAAATAAATAAATGGGAGTTTATAGAATGAGATTGGCTAAAATATTTCTTTTTTGACCATTTGATGCTAACGGCCCAACAATTAGATTTGGGTCTTCACAATTGAGAATTAACTAACCCAACTCACAGGCCACAGCATTTGATGCATTTAGCTTCTAATAAAATAACTCATAATTTTAATTATCTTAGATATTTCTGGGATTTATGGATTAATATTTTTTTCATATGGAGTATTTTTTTAATGACACTAAATTAGATAGAAAAATACAAAAATATACAATTTTTCTTTTTAAAAAACACCAACATTTTTCTCTGAAGGAAGTTGCGGCCACATAAGTACACCGAATGAATCTCGTTCGATCTAGTCCAATGGCAATAACTCGGAATCCGCACAAACGATGTAAACATCATTTAATAAACCATATGCACTGAGTAAACTACACGATAGATGTATATCGTACTGGATAAAATATGTGAAATTATTTCGACTTACAAAATAATAATAGTGAAAATCAAACTCGGGTCGTTAGACGTCACACTCTTCTATTCCAACAGCGCAACAAGCATAGTTGTACTATTTTAAGTAGTTGAAAGGGACAATGGCAGCTAATGAATTGTCGTTTGGTGCTTTAATTTTGCGTGGTGGATGTAAATTGTATGTGTAAAGAGGAAAAAAAATGGTAAGTATAGAACTAAATTAGTGTAAAGTTTCCCTAAATGTTGAAAAATGTTTTAACTTTTAAAATTGTATGAGTTGTTTGACGCTAAGATAAGGCGTGCTGCAATTGCTGACACTCCAAGTTGGTAAGAATTGAAATTGGTCATAAATTTGAAACCTGTATTTTTAGTTTATTTTTTAAGATTTGTAACATATACTTATGTGTATATACACACAGTGATAAGATACTATCTATGTAGCACGGAAACTCAATTTCTCAACGTATTCATGTTTTAGACACGTCTTGTGTCCCACACTTTAGGACACATGTCCAACACTATTGAGCTATTTTGCAATTTCTGAAAAAACATAAATATGTTAAAATCGCAAATTTTTAAATATATATGTTTGTTGTTTCTTTAATTACTTACATGATTTAATGACAATTACAAAGTGATATTTGATAATAATATTTATTTCGAATATATTTGTATGAATAGATTTAAAAAGAAATTATATATAAATAAAATCTGATATACGTTTATATAACATATTTATAAATATAGCCCTACATTCTTAATACTTACACGTTTTTCCCCAAATTCTCATCTCCCCATTTTATGGACATTTCATTTCCTTTGTACCCAGTTCCCTGTATCACTATTTTCGTGTTAGTGCTACATAAGATACTATCAATTTGTATTTTAAGATACAAACTGGTAGTATCTCAATATTTAAATAAAATACGTACTAGAAGACAAATTTCTCACACACCCACACACACATATATATATATATAATTCAAATTAACAACTATAAAAAGCTAGTAGCACATTTTTTCGTCACACAAAGTTGATCAAAGATTCTTTCGATTAGTATATATATAATATATGCACATAAATATACGTATATATCCATTAAATTGTGACATTATGATTTTCTTCCAATTAATTAATACAAGATTAAGAAGTCTTGGTTCCCATTTAAACATTAAACAATTGCAATTAACTCGTTCCAATTTCTCATTTTTCCCCACATTATTGACCATTAAAGAAGACGCCGACGTAGATTAATTTGTCTTCATTCTATTTATTTATAACTTATAAGCCAATAGTTAGGCCCCAAAAATAAAAAGATAATAAACGACAAAAAAAAACGATAAACTACAAACATTAGTCAAAACGAAAGCGATGGTAATTAATTGATTGATCACAAATTAATTCACAATGAATAACAATCTAATAATTGCTAATTACTAGTACTAGTACTACTAAGCACTTGACATACACACACATCACCTAATTATTAATAACCCCACAATTAAAAAAGATAAATTAATTTACATATAATTAATTAGTGACTATCTACATAGTTATATTAACTAGAGATACTAACTTAATTATACGACATAATTAAATATTTACATATAGTAGATGTTATTGTCCCATTCCATTCCATGAAAATAGTTGTTTTCCGCCGCGTAAAACACATTCCCTAGTCCTTCCATCGAGAACGACGAGCTCGGGCTATTGCTCGAAAATCCGTCCGATCGCTGCTCCGATAGCATCTGTATCGCCCTGTTCGCTTCGTTTAGTTGTTCCTTGAGCTTCAAAAGCTGTACATACACATCATTTTTTTCTCAATTTTAGTACCACATTTATAAAAAAAAAATATAGTATAAAACATTTTCACACACACACACCCATGTTGGTGTGTGTGTGTGGTCCATTTAAGGAAGCACCCAAGGGCACAATATAAAGAAACCTATGCGTACAATAATTTTATTATTATTTTTATATATTATCCCTATGAAATGTATGATGAAGAGATGAAGACACGCGTACTAAAAACTTAAAGAAAGGTGAATGTGTAAGAGTAAGGGTGGATGAATCTGGGCCGTACACGTGGGGAGGGTGAATTGCATGTGCGGCTCCATCAAGGAGCACTATCCCCACACCTTAAAGAACTACGTACGGACCAGTTGCTACTTGCTAACCTGAGCATAATAATAGTACAATTTGCAGTCTTTTTTTTTTTTTTTTTTTTTTTGTGTATGATATAAAATTATGTTCCTCCATATCTTTTTATTTTCAGCTAGGTCCTCTATCTTTAATGAAATTAGGTTTTTCTACCCCATACAAATGGTGCATGCATCTTTACAAAAATGGTGTAATTATTCATTATTTGTTATTTCAAGATTCCCCAAAATGGGTAGACAAATTTTGTCTTGGGGTTTTTTTTTGTTTTGTGTGTGTGTGTGTGTGTGTGTGTGTGTGTGTGTGTGAGAGAGAGAGAGAGAGAGAGAGAGAGAGAGAGAGAGAGATGGATATACATATATACCTCAGTCTCGAGGTGGCAGTTCTTGACGACGGTGCTCTCATGCTCCGCCTTGAGCTTGGAATACTCCTCCTCGAGTTTCTTGCTCTTCCACCTGGCACGGCGGTTCTGGAACCAAACCGCCACCTGGCGGGGGTCAAGGCCAAGCTCCGCCGCCAGCTTATCTTTCCTCTCCGACTCCAACTTATGCTCGCTCCCAAAGCTCCGCTCCAGCATGTTAACCTGCTCCTCGCTCAGCTTCCTCTTCCTCAGCATCCCTTCAACCCCGCCGCAACCTTCGTCGCCGCCGCCGCCTTTGTTCTTCTTCCGCCTCCGCCGCGGCTTCGAGTTCACCACCCCCGCCGCCGCACCACCACCTGCACACACACATACACATACATACAAACCCATCAGAAAATTAACAACCATCCTAATAAATAATGCATGCGCACGTAAATATAAAATTAGTGTGTGTGTGTGTGTGTGTCTCTCTCTCTCTCTATATATATATATGTATGTATGTATATAGGTAATAAGTACCGACCAGTTTGTTCCGGTACGAAGTGGTGGTTGTTGTACATCCCGTCTGGATAATACTGAGAAATGAGTACCATTTGATCTTCAAATTCAGAGTTCATAATAACAATAATAATACTGTTTTCTTTTTCTTTCTCTCTCTCTCTCTCTCCTCTTTTTTCTGTGTTTCTCTCTCTACAGATGGTGGTAGCTAGTACTTACTGCACTGATTTATGGGAGTTTTGTTTGACTTGTAATTAGGAAAAAAATATGAAGGAAGAAAGTATTGCTTGGTGTCTTAGGATAGGATTTTAGAAATGGGGGAAAATGCTTTATATTTATAAAGCCTGGACGATTGAGTTCAGTCCTGGTCTTCTTCCTATTTTCAATTATGCCACTTATAAGCTAATTAGCTTCCTCATCATCATGTAACATGTATATACGTATGTATGTATCATGTATGTATGCCCTACACACACATGTTTGTGTGTGTGCGTGTGAGAGAAGGGGGGTGTTTGGTTATACAGATGGGGAAATTGGATTATAGAAAGATGGGATGATTGGAATGGCTTTTTTTATATATTGGTGGTTATATCGTGTCTTGATTTGGTGAAACGTGACTCAATTAATGGGGTGCATATAGTAATTTCTTGTGTGAGCCAAACACTTTTTATTTATTTTAATTAATTAATTTATTTTAATTAATTAATTTATTTTAATTACAAAAAAATTGATGTTTTGTTGTGTGAAGATGAATGAATATGATCCACAAAGAATAAAAAGGCTGCAAAATTCACCGGCAAAAGGACCCCATTTGATGGTTTCATTGGATCAAATTGATGACAACGAAACAAATACATATGTACTTCTGTTTTCTAGTGGGAGCATGTGATTTTAAATGTATTTTCTTTTTTTTTTTTGGTAAATCAAGAAATAAAAAGGTAGCTCTAACCAACGTTAAATTAAATAATATACATGATTATTTATATTACGTGGATTCGAATCATGGATCTACACATAATTACACACACTGATAGTTTAATTCAAATACACATTCATTGTAAATAATCAGAAATAGCTTCGTACACTAGGAATTTACGACTTAGTCCACGAATATATATATATATATATATATATATATATATATATATATATATATATATATATATATATAATTAAAAGGAAAGAAGAAAAAATAAGTGATGTATGTAAAGATTGTGAAAACGGCATACAAAAATGTAAAGGGTTATCCATTATATTTATCCATCAACAAATACAGTGGAAAGTAATTGTGACCCAAATTAAAGGAATGCTGCTTGCATTTGGCTTTCCTCATTTGGGTATATTTACTTAGGAGTGTGACGCTCTGTCAATTAATTCTATTTCTAGCTATTTTGTGAAAACTGTGTGTGTGTTTGTGTGTGTGTGTGTGTGTGTGTCAAGAGAGAGAGAGAGAGAGAGGGAGAGAGAGAGAGAGAGAGATAAGGTTAGGTAATTAGGGATTGGGATCCCAAATTTCTGACCACCTCGATCAAAGTGATTAATAAATTAATTAATAATATTAAGATTAATTAGCCTCTTGATTTGGACTAGAGAAACTTATTTTTGTTGTCCAATTAGGTGGTATTTCTCCTCTTTCCAAGCACTCCCCCCCTCTACTCTACATTATATTCACATTTCTAGTGCCTACACTACACACACACACTTTATATACATATATGTATATATATATATATATAAAGTGTGTTGTAAACACACACACACACACAAACTACACTAGAAGCATGCACACCCAAGTCAAACTAGTACTCTTAAGCCATATGGCATAATTAATTTGAATTTTGTGTTGAAGTAGGTCAAATATAAATTAAAAGTTCTCAAAAGCTGTAGATAACACTATAAACACACGAAAAATAACAAATATTTACATATAGTTATTAGTTACTATTACCAATTATAGATTAAGTGACATATATATGGTTTTAAATAGTTTAATAATTGTTCCGCAATTGAGTTTGTGTCAATAAACTCAAGTCCGAATCCCCTTTATCAGTACTGTCGTCAGATCGAATTTATCACACATGATTAACCTAGTATATATAGCTTACATCTCTCGTATGATTTTTAAAATATTATACGACAGTGTAAATTCATCCGATGCACTTATATATATGTTTTGATGGGGGTTCATTTACTAAAACAAATTAAGGGTAAAAATTTTAATTGGTTTTGTTTAGTGTATGAAGGGGCCCCACTTGTAGGTAGCACCAAATATGATGCGTGGCTCGAGAAGAGTGAATAGTTGTTAGCAAAAAACAGTACAACGTTTCTAATTGGTCTGTCCAAATTTGTGAACTCCCCCATATCAGTAGCTAACCTATGACATCACATATATTTATGCACACACACTCACACACACACACATATATATATATATAAATAGGGGTTATAATCAAATTCGATCAATAGCCTGAATCTATAGGCCATATATATAGATTACTGATTGTTAAAAGGATGTAATTAGATATAGAAATAATTAATGAATAGACAAAATAAAAATAAAAATAAAAATATTAATCAAGTTCACTATCGGAGCCAGATTTTAAATGCAGGGCCGAATGCATTAAAAGTTTGTGATGTTTTACAAAAATTATATAAAATAATAACGATTTGGAAAATGTTGGGGAGCATGCCCTTTTGCCGCCCAGTTCTATGTTGGCTCCGCCTACATTAGCATAATAAGGGTATATATTACAATCATCCCCTGAGATGTTAGTCAAATTAAGAAATAATTCTCATGTTTGGATAATTACAACTACCCCTCAACTATGAATATTCTTACACGTTCACTCTTCTGGTGTCAAATTCAACATAATATTCTAGATTTCGTGAAATATTCACTAATTTGTACTCGTTTTTCGCAAAACTGCAGTCTTCGATGCACTACAATCTGATACACAGCGAAAAAACACATTTTGTGACCATATAAAATGGGTTCAAAATTGAGAATATCCCTTATAATGTAGAAGATTTCACTAAATTTGATCCTGCAAGAGTGGACGTGTAAAAAAATTTACAATTGAAGGGGGTGGTTGTAATACCCAAACAAAAGGTTTTTTTTTTCTTCATTTTAGTCAATTGATCCGACCGGTAAACCGGCCATCTCTTACTAGACGAGAATTGAAAATATTGTAGTAGCCAAATCATGTATATCATGTATATATTTTTGAATATTGGGAAGCACGTAGAGAAAAAATTGAACAATAAATTTGAAGACCGAATATTTTAGAACAAATTTAAAAAAATGATTAAATAGATCATATGTTAAAATTTAAATGGCAAAATTAATTGATGAAGCGTGCAAGAGGGACCGTGCTCAAGAAAATATCTGTTTGTCTCACTTCCTTTCCAATCCCTTTCCTCACTTTTATTGGATTTTGACGCATTTTCAGGCTCTTATATTTTAAACAATTAAATATATATATTTTTATTATTTTTTTTTGAAAGAATATATTTTTATTTTTATTATTATTATTACTACTATTATTATTTTGGCTGTTCTATTGTCTGATGAGATGAGGGGGTCGTTTTCTCATATGCAGAAAAAGCCTTTTTCTCCTCACTTATATACCCCACCACACTTTTTATCTACTTAATTATTTTCAGTGGCCTTTTTTTAATAAATTTATTTAATTAATAAATAAAATTTATAAGCATTTACAATGTATAAAACCCTCAATTTTATAGGTCAAAAAGTTTATACAATGTTAGTTCTAAAATTGAATAGCTTGTAATTGTATGATCACATTTAAGGAACTTTTTAAAATCTAATAAGAACTAATTAATTTAAGATGGATAGTTATTTATTATTTATTGTTTTTTATTTTTGTTATATAGTAATAATAATGAAATTGAATAAAAGTATAAATGAGTACAATGATTTGAAAGGCGAGGCAGAGTGGGATTGAGTGGAGGGAAGTGGAACTACGTGGATGGATTTGACTATCCACACCAATATTGTCTCTAAGTGAAATTGTTCTTTCCTTCAACTTAATTTCATTATCACATAAAAAGAAATATAATGTTGAAAAAAAATATAATGTTTTTTTTTATATAATGAAGATGCTCGTAGCTGATCATATAATTGCATTAGGTAAATCTACGAGATATGCATGTAAACCATTAAGCTAACTATGTGTGAGAAACTGCACCTAGCAACCGTTGACAAGATGATTCAAATTTGAATCAATTGACACGAGCTCACTTGTTCCAATCATTAGCCCATTCCTTAAGGGACAAAATAAAAAATAAAAAAGAATTAGTGTTGAAATTTATAACTCGTGGGGGGAAGGGGTCTATTCGTCGACAAAATGAGTTCGAATTTGACGGATTTCCACCAATTTTTCCATTCATCATTAATTGTTGAGGTAGAAAAATGTGAGGTTAAAGGAAATAGGATCACGTATTCACGTTAATTAATATTTATATTATTTTTAATCGAGGCTAATTTTGAATTAGCTTGTTAATATAAAGATTATTTAGCAAGTTTTTAATTTTCTTTTTATATCGTGTGAATTTGAATTGTATACTGATTATATACATATCTATGATTAAAATCCACACAATGTAAATAATCAAGTGTAACGTCTAATTACCCTAGCTAAGGTTCGTATGATTTAAGAAAGATCATCCTAGAGTAGTACGTTACGTGGGCATGAACCACTCTGGCGTAGGCGACGA